CACTTTGGGGACACTGGTGATGATGGCACTGGGATGTGGGGCATGGGGACACACTGGTTGGGGGCTGTGGGATGTGGGTTTGGGGACACTATGGGACAGTGATGGTGGTGGCACTGGGATGTGGGGTGTGGGGACACTTTGGGGACACNNNNACACTGTGGATGGTGGCACTGGGATGTGGGGACACAGTGGGGGCTGTGGAATGTGGGGACAAGTGGGGACACTGCTGGTGGTGGCAGTGGGATGTGGGGTGTGGGGTCAGAGGATGTGGGGTATGGGGACATTTGTGGGGCACTGCTGGTGGTGGCACTGGGATGTGGGACATGGGGACACTTTGGGGACAGTGATGGTGGTGGCACTGGGATGTGGGGTGTGGGGACGCTGTGTGTGGGGTCAGGGGACGTGGGCTATGGGGACACTGGTGATGATGGCACTGGGATGTGGGGTGTGGGGACACTTTGGGGACACTTTGGGTGGTGGCACTGGGATGTGGGCTGTGGGAACAGTGTGTATGAGGTCAGGGGATGTGGGCTGTGGGGACACTTTGGGGACAGGTGATGGTGGTGGCACTGGGATGCGGGACATGGTGACACCTGTGGGGCTCCAGCAGCTTTGGTGCCACCAAACCCGGTGTCCCCTGGGGACCCGATGGGTGCTGCTGTCACATCCCTGCCCCCCCCCAGGCGCTGCCCCACAGCCGCACCCCAGCCCTGCCCGCCTCCCGCAGCCTCCACCCCTCCCCGCCCTGCATGAAGGTGAGCCCCGCCCCCCCGCCGCCCCCCGCTTTGGGGTCCGGCCCCCCTCCGACCCCCTCTGTGCCCCCTGCAGGCGCGGGCGGCGCGGGTGCGCGTGGGGAAGGGGGACAAAGCCGTGAGCTACGAGCGGGCGCATCCCCCCCATCACATCGCCCACCGCAAGGGCTGGCTGTCCCTGCACACCGGTACGGCGCCACCCCACATCCCCATAGGGAACCGACCCCTTCCCGACCCCATATCCCCCATAGGGCACTGATCCCTTCCCACCCCACATCCCCCATAGGGCACTGAGCCCTTCCCGACCCCATATCCCCATAGGGCACTGATCCCTTCCCGACCCCATTTCTGCCCCACAGGGAACCTGGGTAGGGAGCCCTTCCTGACCCCATATCTGCCCCACAGGGAACCTGGGTGGGGAGCCCTTCCCGACCCCATATCCCCATAGGGAACCTGAGCCCTTCCTGACCCCATATCCACCC